TTGGGACAGCTATTGAGGCAGATGCAACATATGGTAGATGGAGAGGGTTACTCTGGGATGCAGCTGCTGGTGGCGTACTGTGGTCATGGAGCTGAGGATGGGCTTGTTGTAATACTAAGGGCAGGGGTGTTGAACTGTAGTAGCTTTAGTGATCTGATACGTTTTGCTTATACACTATGACGATACGTGTTGGCTGGCAAGAGGACATAGTGAGAGGTTGATTTGAGAGTTGGGCCACTTTTCCAGATTCGTTGCGTGGATGGTAGCACTATGAATCTCACGTATGACTTCTTGTTGCCACTTCAACGAGTACTGGTTGGTTGTAACGTCAGCGTAATGGTGATGTGTGATTGTTGTCGTCCATATAGCAACGAGGCGAGGATAGAGGCTAGGATAAGTAAGATGAAGCGAGCGAGGAGTATGCGGCTTCTGCCGAGTCTACGAGAAGATTATCGAGAAAATGATGCGTTGCAGGTGGAGTTTGGAATTTTACGGCGCGCGAAAATTTTTGACCGGCTTGACTCTAGGCAACCTGAAATGATTTTTATTTTCGGCAACAGTCCGGGTCGGCGATGTTGGGATGCGATATTACTCCGAGCCTTCGCTCAGCTCCCAAAGGGCCGGCCCTTGGGGAGGCTGTTGAGGTCCTGGTCGATTGAGGTGGCCAGGCTCTCTGTTTACCATCAGAGGCTGTGTGTAGTGGAAGACGACTCTGACCGAGGAGTGGTTGAGCTTGTATGGTGAGGAGTTGCTGTTGTGTAGAGTGTGGTGACGCTAGAAGGATGACTGAGTGCTTCAATGCCACGCGTAGTGCTCGACGCTGTTGGGTTCTTCCCTACCTCCTGTGCATGTGAGTGTATTGCTGGCTATGTGGTGTTTTTATGTTACTCTGATCGGTGTTGGATTTGTGTTATAGTGGCTTAGGGGATCTGTAGATTTGATCGATTTGATGCCAGCAGCTCCAGAACCTTCCGAAGGCGATCAGAGGGAGATATACCTCTGGGCTCCCTTCTATCTCATCAACTATGCTATTTTCCTTTTAGTATGCGCATTGCATGTACTGGTTTATTTTCGAAGTCGCGGAAAGTCCCGGATTGATGGTAACGTTATCTTGACGGTTTGAGGGGTCGACTTGATTTGTCAGGGCACACGGTTGACCTTCCCACAGAGGGGGTGGCTCAGCGAGGGTACCGAAGGGACTATTTGGGCACTGGTGTGAAGTGGCTGGGAGTATTGTGGCTGCTGTGGCTTCAACTGAGCTTGCTGTTACTCGTCATTGGACAGTAATTTAATCGAACTTTTGGAAAGTGGTCATCTTGAGAGTTCGTAGGTATAACGGTGCTTGGCCGTTCTATTCCGTGGATCTCGAACCAACTTGGAACAGCTACACACGAGGGTTCCTGGCTGCTTGGGTGGGCTGAGCTTGGGAATCCTGTCGCTTCTTCGATCACCTGTTTATCAGGTCACTAGTACGACAGCTCTTATGCTCCTCAAGAGGTTTGAATACTTCTTCAGCACGCTGTATTTACTACCGTGTGAGCTTATCTTGGCTGAGTAGGTGTGGGGGTATATTTCTCGGTATGATGATGGTCTCTATGATTAGTTATGTGATGATGACTGCTACGACTGTTGATGAGTGCGGTGGTGGAGTTATTCGTCATTCTGATCTATGCAAAGTTGAGGTCAGTCCACCGTTTTGATCGATCGATTCGGTGTGATCTTCGTGGTGAATGCAGTCATGAGCTAATGCGAAGGAACTCGGTGAAGTTTTGAGTGACTCGAGGCGACGAATCTGGAGCGGGTTCGTCTCTCGGTGAGGATTGTCATGACCTATCTCATAGAAGTTCTGTGGTAGATCTCCGCTTATGTTGGGATCTCGCGCCAGATTGGACGCTGGAGTTCGATCCCGGTTCGATTCCTGGGTTGGACATTTTTC